AGGAAGCAGAAAACATGCTTGCTCCCTCCTCCCTGTGGCTTCCTCTCACATATTTATACATGGCCATCATGTTGTTGTAGGTTTTTTTCGGGCTATATGGCCATGTTCTCGGGGCATTTTCTCCTGATGTTTCGCCTGCATCTATAGCAAGCATCCTCAGAGGTAGTGAGGTCTGTTGGAACTAGGAAAATGGGTTGCCCCAGGCACTGCTAGGCCATCAAATGCTAATCAAGGTGGTCACTTGAATATTCATACCTAGCTCCAACAGACAAGAGTTCTTTCTCTCTCCCTGGATCTTCCACAGATATATAAACCCATTTTCCTAGTTCCAACAGACCTCACTACCTCTGAGGATGGTTTATTTATTAATTTTATTTACATTATTTCTATCCCGCCCATTTCAGACCGAAGGCGACTCAGGGCGGTATACACAGTCGGCACAATTCGATGCCGAAACAAAATACATACATACATTGATAAAGCAAAAACATTCAGTGCAATTAAACATAAACGGCAGCGCATAATAACAATTTTAAAAGAAACTATGTCTTCTGTTCAAATCTTGATCCATTTACATTGTCTTGGCCGTTCCTGGGTCAATTTCGCCATAGATGCAGGCGAAACGTCAGGAGAAAATGCCTCTAGGCCATGGCCATATAGCCCAAAAAAACCCTACAACAACCCAATAATAATAACAATAATAAGATGGGGTAAGATACAAATCAAGTTTTATTATTATTACACTGCCATATAATCTAGTTCAAAGCAGATAATCTGGAATCAGAAACTGGATTATATAGCAATGTAGATCCAGCTTGTGTCTGTTCGACACTCCTCCTGAGGTTTTTAAACAGGCTGGATGGCCATCAGTCAGGAGTGCTTTGATTGTGTGTTCCTGCATGGCAGATGAGGTTGGACTGGATGGCTCTTGGGGATCTCTTCCATCTCTAATTATATGAAAACAATTAATCTTGCCATGTATTCCTTTGTAAATGTTACACATTGTTGTCCAAGATAATAAATGCCATATAAACCATAATAAGATGCTTTGGGGCATCTTATACAGACCAGGTAAAAGGAAAAGCTTGTCAGCATTCAAACTGACAATAAAGGACACCTGGCATTCCACAACAAAGACCTCAGCTTCAAAAACAAAAGCCTCTGCTGTCCCCATTGAACATTTAAAGGGGGAAAAGCGGCCTAAGGCTTCCAACCTTCTGGCCCTTCCCTTAAGGCCAATACGCCTCCTCCTCCTCATAAGCCCTGAACTCACCAAGCCTCGCCTTCTCGCTCTAAAACCGGAGCCAACCTGACAGACCTTCTCTTCCGCCACTGCCTCCGGAAACAACAAGGCGTCGTCGGCCCCTTTAAATGGCGTCATCGCCGGGCGCCGTAACCCTGGCAACGAGCCTACCTCACGCATGCGCAAACTTGGGCCCTCCAGGAGTTTTGGACTTCAACCATTCCTAGATACACACACAAGCAAAGAGGAAAGAAAGGAATAGGATGGCCAACTATACAATCCCATCTACATAACATTGCACTGCGCAGTCTATACTTTAAATGATCATACACATATATACAATAGACTC